CTATATGCCTGACGGTTTGTTATATTAAACATGATTTGAGCTTTCCTGAAGTTTGCTTGCTAATCTTTTCCCTCTTGGCTGATTTTCATTTGAATTGTTTAAACCAGCGGTTCTCAACCTGTGGGTCGCGACCCCTTTGGCGGTCGAACTACCCTTTCACAGGGGTCTCCTAAGACTATCCTGCATATCAGATATTTACATTATGATTCATAACAGTAGCAACATTACAGTTATGAAGTAGCAAAGAAAATAATTTTATGGTTGGGTCACAACATGAGGAACTGTATTTAAAGGACCAGAAGGTTGAGAACCACTGATTTAAACTCATCTCAAAACGTCCTTGTAGCTTTTGTTGTGTTGAGAAGGCTAGTCTGGCTGGTGTGGCTCAGTGGTTGAGCATCAACCTATGAACCAGGAGGTCACAGTTTGATTCCTGGTCAGGGCACATGCCCAGGGCTCGATCACCAGTGTGGGGCGTGCAGGAGGCAGCCAATCAATGAATCTCTCCCATCACTGATGTTTCTATCTCCTCCTCTCCCTTCCTCTCTGAAATCAATAAAAGTATATTTTAAAAAAAGAAAGAAAACTAGCAACTATAGAAACTGTCTGGGTTAACCCATAAAAGGACCTATTCCACAAACAGTAAGGACAGAATATAAAAGCCACTGCAAATGTGTTCTATTGGAATAAGAATTAAAAGTCAGGAAAATCACAGGTCAGCCTATCTTTATTTTAAAGCGAAGTGCACAGCTGACATTTTCTATCTCGACCTCACCCAGAAAAAGCGAAGCATCCATCCATGCTACGCAGTCACTGACTGTTAGCTCTCAGAAAAGTGAAATTTCTATTTCACTTTGTTAGCACAGTTTCACATAAATCGTATTTTAAATGAACGTGTCTTTGCCATCTGGAGAATCTGTAAGTACTAACGTAACAAGGAGTATTCACTCATAAGTGTATAAATAATCACATTAAAATAGACTGTATGGTGTAACTGGCTGAATATAAAACATTGCTGAAATCCAGGAAATCAGTTTTATCGGAATTCCTATTGGAAATTTCAGATGTTATCTTTACGATAATGCAATGGAGAGTCTCATCGCTTCGCTAGAGAAAAAGCAAAAAGAAGTCACAGTTAGATAATCAAGCTCACCAGTTTTAAGCCTTAACTTCACTTTTGGTGATTGTTAAGAAAATGAAGTACCATTCACACTTGAGTGGTTTTCGCCTAAGTAGATCTTAATCTTACGCAGAGCTTCCTATAACTATTATTTGGGGAGGTATCGTATTCAATTATTTTGTGTGATATTATAATAAGATTTTACACTCAGGAATTTTATTATGCTGGGGCTACCATCGCTGGGAAATAACCTTGTTAATTAAACGAATTTAAGGACGCAGAGCCAACTATACAACTCTTCGACTCCACACATATCTCCCAGGTCTCTCATTCCCTTGATCACTACACAGCCTGGCTACACCATTTAAAGAAGTGAGGAGAAGGAAAGGGAATATGGAATTAAGTCCAGTTAGGCTTCAAGCGCTGCGCTGCTGTTTATCCTTGCAACGCTCTGAAGTCGATACTGTGATCCCAGACTTCACACACGGGTCAACGGAGGCCCCCTTGGCAAAGATTCGCACTAGTGAAGGGGCCTCCTGGACAGCCCACGCCAGGCGCTCTCGACAGGAGCCTTACTGTGCTGGCTGAGCCCACGGCCCCTTTCCACGGAGTTACCTGTATGGGGCCTTATCTCCTGCCCAGTAACCCCATCACTGTGGCCACAGCTAACTGGACAAGCGCTTGGTGCTGGACTCAAACGGGCTGCCCACGAGGAGGCCCTGTGTGAGAAGGTAGCGGACCAGACGAGTGTGACCCTCTCTTGTAGAAGAATGCAAGACAGAGCAGCAGCCCAGCCATCATGGCTCAGTGGTTGAGCGTCGATCTATGAACCAGGAGGTCGCGGTTTGATTCCTGGTCAGGGCACATGCCCGGGGTTGCGGGCTCAATCCCCAGTAGGAGGCGTGCAGGAAGCAGCCGATTAATGATTCTCCCTATTCCTTCCTCTCTCTGAGATCAATAAAAACATATTTTTTTAAAAAGACTGAGGGTGGGAGAGGGCAATGGGGGGAAAAGGGGACATATGTAATACTTTCAACAATAAAGATTTATTTTAAAAAAACACACTGAGAAAAGCAGAGAAAGGGGCAGCGGCACCAAGACTCAGAGGGATAATGAACCAAATAAACTGATGATCAAAAACAGACCCAGAGTCACATAGGCATGAACAGACTGTCCAACCTCAGAGGGAAGGCAGGGGAGGGTGGGTGGGAAGAGATCAACCAATGAGCTTGTCTGCATATGTGTATAACCCGTGGGCAATGGGGTGGTGAGGGCCTGGGGAGGGGAGGGAGCAGCTGGAAGAAGTTAATGGGGGAAAAGGAGGACCTATGTAATACTTTCAACAATAAAGATTAAAAGAAAATACTCAGAACAACAAACCAGAAAAGCCCACGGGGAAGGCAGTGCGGAGCAGCCAGGCCCTCGCTCCAGCGTGGCTGAGGGATGGCGAGTGGGGGCTGGAGGAGGCCCGGAAGGCGTGGCAGGCAGTGCTTGTGAGCAGTTCATTAGCACTCGCAAAGCGCTGATGAAGAAAATGGCAACTAACCCCAACGGGAGGATTTCCTGAAAGCTATAAGCCCTTGAATATGCAAATTATGCAAATGAAATTACTGTCATCAATATTTCAACAGAGCACTGCTCAGAGCTCTCAGCCCAGCACAGACAGAAACATTCATTTTCAGAAAACCAAGGCTGCAGTAACAAAGTAAAGGGGCCGCACGCTCAGAATCTACTGAGGGTTTTTACGAGAAATACCGGGCGCCGTGTCAGGTCAGTGAAGCCAGAAACGGAGGGGTCGGCGGAGAGTTATGAAAGCCCCCAGGCTGTGTGCAGCCAAAGGGAGACCAGAACTCCAGGTCAGCGGGTCTCAGAACGTGGCCCAAGTCACTAGCATCCAGGTCACCTGGGAGCCCTCAGACACGGGAACCCCAGATCTGCTGACTCTGAAACTCTGAGGGTGGGGCTCAGCGTCCGTGTTTTATAAGACAACTGGGGATTTTGACACAGGCCAAAATTTGAGAACTACGGCCTTAGCTGATATTAAAAGGGGAATCTTTCTTTTTATTACAGGTCTATAATATCTATGAACTACAAATGGAAAAGAATCCTACAAATATGGCAGACAAAGGCCAAATTCCTCAGTAAACTCAGGTAAAGACACAAAAAAACACACTCAGGTACTGAGGACATTAGAACACAATGATATACAAGTAATTCAAAAATATATTAATTTAGATTTTTAGTTATATAAAAAATCAAGATATAAACTCATATGTATAAAGTATATTTAAAAGGGAATACAAAGAAAAAGAAGCCAAAATAATAGCTATATTGCTTCTGAGTGATTATAATGTTTTTTAGTAGTGATAATGCATTCTCTTCATAATTTTGAATAACATATGTATTTAAAATACAATACCTTGATTTCTACACAAAAGTTAAAAAAACAAAATTATAAAATTATTAGAAGGAAATAAAGGAGAGCATTTGCATGGCACTGGGGTACAGAAAGCTTTCTTAACACACACAAAAAGCAAAAACCCTAAAGTGACTGGTACACTTGAAAACATCACAATGTTAAACTGTCGTAAAATAAACTTCATCCGCAAAATGAAGAAACCCAGGGACTGTGAAAGGTATTACAGCAGAGGTAGCAGACAACAGATCACTCCCAGAACATGTATGAAAAGACTCCCAGTGATCAATGCAAAAGCCTCATTAACCAACAAGGAACTGATAAAGGACACGATGACAGAACATTCAAAACCACTCAGAGTCACATGACGAGTTCCTTAAACCCACGAGTGTTGAGGAAAGCAAAAGCTGAAACAGTGAGATTTAATTTATATCTAGCAGATTAGCAAAAATTAAAAAAGAGTCCGTCGACACCAGAGGGGCACGCTCGTGCTTGGCGTGGGGGTATAGACTGGCACAGCTGCTCCGGCACAGAACCAGGCCAGCCTACCCAGCAACTCCACTCTGGGTGGGAGCCCTCGAGCACATACACACATGTGCACAGACCTCAGCCTGGTGTTCCTCACACACTGCTTGGTGACAGCAAAACGTGGAAACAGCCCTAGACTGTCATCAGCAGGGAGACAGGTACATGAGATACAAGGTACGTTTATTCAAAGGTGCACTGTACAGCAGTGAATGAAAGAGACAGATCTGCATGTACCCACCTGCATAGTTCTCAAAAATTATTAAGTAAAAAGAGCAATTTACAGAATGAAGTGTAATGTAAAACCATTTATTCAAATTCTTAAAACCTTTGAAACATTTTCATTTTCTAACCAGCCATCTATCTATATAAAAAGTAATTTTAGCCCTGGCCTGTGTGGCTCAGCTGGTTGGAGTGTCATCCCATAAACTGAAAACTTGCAGGTTCGATTCCCAGTCAGGGCACATACTTAGGTTGCAGGTTCAAACCCTGATGGGGGCCCAGCAGGTCGGGGCACACACGGAGGCAACTAGTCGATGTTACTCTCTCACATTGATGCTCTCTCTCTCTCTCTCTCTCTCTCTCTCTCT